TAATTATATATAGTCTATTCGCACGTGAAAAACGTGTGAATAGACACTCCGCTATTTAATATATGTCTAACTTTATATAGAATTTTCATGGAAATATCATCAATTTGTCGTCCCCGAGATAAATTTTTATCTCGGAGACAACAATTTTCTCTTTCATACTATAGCTTTTCAGCTATTTCAATAGAATATGGTGATTAACAGTGTCAAAAGCTTTTGACAAATGAATGTTTAGTGTAAATTGAGAATTTTAAAGGAATTGGCAATACTGCGCGTTACTTGGAGAATAGCGCGTTCAGTTAAACTTTTTCTCTGAAAACCAAATTGATTTAAAAAAAAAATTATTATCAATTAGATAAGTGTACATTCTGTTATACATTATTCTTTCTAATATTTTTAAAAAGAATAGTAGAATAGTAGAACTGAGATAGGACCATTGTTTATTACGGACCATCGTTTATTACGTTAGTAGGATAACCTTTTTTAGAGATTGGTATTTTCAGACTATTTGCTTTTTTTTTTTTTTTTTTTGCTATATCAAACTATTTTCAAACTTATTCTATTTTCAAACTATCTGGGAAAGATGAAGTAATAGATGCTTTAAAAACTTTATAAAAAATATCTTAAATCAAAAGACTCAATTATATTATTCCCATTTATAACATCGGGCCCAGTTTCTTTATTTCTTTAAAAAAAAAAAAGAATATTAAATGAAATTTAAAAGTTGGTGATGAATTAAAATTTAGAACTATTTGCTAAAAATATATACTTTAATATATTTTTTTTACTTGATATCTTTTTTTTTACCTTTATCGACAAATACTTGCCCCAGACTTTATAAAAAAAAATGTTATCATGGAAATAGATAAAATGATTTTTATGGTTTTAAAAAATGATATATATATCATCATGCGCATTTCTATACAATTTCCTGAAAGAAGTTTCTTCGCCGTATAGTGAGAAATAGCTGTTACATTAAACTAAACTATGCATCAGTTTAATGGAGATTTTTCTTTTAGAAGGTGCATAATAAACTGTAGCGTTATTTAATTATATCAATGAGGTATAATACTCTAAAGGAAGAACGATGTTAAAATACGTCATTTCTCAAGGAACAGTCTTAGTAGTAAAATAATTTTCTATTAAACACCACGTAGACATAATAATTTTAAGTTAACTAATCATATTACACTTTTAACAAAAATTATCCATTGATATTTTTCAAATCGTCATTTGCAATTGAAACATTGCAAATAAAAGATAGAAGTTTAAAAAATTCCTTAACAATAGATTTAGATTTAGTTTATTGTTATTTTTTTTATGTTGTGCTTCCCGTACACAGTGGCGTCGCTAGGGAGTACGGGGGGTGCGGACCGCACCGGGTGACATTATCACAGCTTGATACAGAGAGGTGATACATAAATGAAAAAAAAATTCCATTTTTGTGTGAAGAAACAAGTCATTGCTAGTCAGTAGTCAAGGCTTTCTGATTTGGCTCTATTGTCAATTGAGAGTGATATGGGGGAAGATATTGATTTTGATAGTGTGATTGACAGATTTGCAGCTGTGAAAACCAGGAAAGAAAACTTATAAATAAAACTTAAGTTCAATGTTTAATAACAATAATTTAGTTCTTAATTTTTATTTTATCTGAAGTAGTAAAGTAAAGTTAAATTACTTAAATTCTTGTGTCCTTAGTAACTTCTTATGTCCTTACTAACTTCTTATGTCCTTAGTAACTTCTTATGTCCTTAGTAACTTCTTATGTCCTTAGTAACTTATGCACTTATTCTAAAGATTACCATAAGCGTATTAAGCGATTATCGAAATCGGATTATGTATATGGTCTAGTACAGGAAAACTCTGAAGAGATCTATAGTGAAAGTCTAGAGGGGTGACACCCTGAGTTCACCCTGAGTTTTATTGTGATTACTACTTGATAGTTGAACAGTTGTTAAAAACTTACCCAGTCAGCTTTTAAGAGAGTAATCCATTTTGAATACAGCTTTACAAAGGTTACAAACTACATTTCTCAATTTTCCTTTTTCAACGCAAAGGCGCCATTTTGACTTGCCGCTGGAATAATTATACAACAAAGACTGTTCAACAATTTTAAACAATTTTCTGTTTCGCTTTACTGCCATTTTATTATATCTCTTTGGTTTAATTTAATAAACGTTAAACACCGATAATAAGATATTATGTAATAAAAAAAAATAATTTTTGTAATTGTATAATAAAATTTAAATAAATAAGAAAATTTAAGTATCTAAAATAAATGTAAAAACGCAGCAGACGAACCACAAACGTTCGTCGTAAAAAAAAATTCTTTAAATAACTAGCGGTAGTTATTGCTAAGGGATAAAGTCGTAAGGCAATTATTGACTTTGTCTCAAAAACCACCTCAGTCAAAAATGTCATAATTTGAATCATCATTTAAAATTCACTCTTTCTAATTTAAAATAAAAAAATTTTAAATAAAGAATATTTTTCCATTTTGGCATATTTGATCTAAACTGTGTAACACAACTTTCAAGATTTATAAATTTAAAAAAAAACATTTTTAGTACATATTTATAAAACTTGTGGTCTATCAATTTCAAAATTATTTATATTTATTATATTACAGCGATAAAATTAAAGTAAAAAAAATGTTCATATCAATAACGATTAAAAATAACATATCAGCAATAACTAAAAAGTTATCTCATACTTGTTTATAGATTTTGCTTGTGTCATATAGTTAGACCTATAAAAATCTCGACCTACTAAGTTGTTCTACAAAATGAACTTCTACTAAAAAGTGTAACTAATTTCCAGATAACCTACTGAAGCCTAAATTGTTTCCAACCGATTTGATTATAATAGTCTTTTTTTATCTTCAACTGATTTATGACGTTTAAAATTGTTTTCGACCGTTTTATTTTTCGACCTATTTTATAGATTTTCATTTTTAGCCGAATTGAGATAAAATTAATTTTCAACCGATTATCTAGTCTGTGTTTTTAACGTTATTTTTTTTTAAATATGAATTTTTTTTTTTAATCAAATTAACAATTAAAAAGTTTTCTAAGCATTTATCGAACCTTATACCTCCCGATTCTGAAGACAGCGCTTTAACCGCTGCGTCAAGGCTGGCTCGTTTCAAATCAACAACAAAATACATACCGGAAGGACGTAATTAAAAATTGAAAATACAGTAACTAGAATATTCAGTTAAAAATTCGATTACTTCCCCCCCCCCCCCACCTATACAAAGAAGCTACGCTACAAACTCAGCCTAATTTTACGTTATTTAAGCAATGAAACTCAAAAAAAAAAAATATTGTTGACATCAACTTTAGTTGACCTCCGCCCTCACCCTTGTCAACAATTGTCAAAAAAGTTTAGACCCCCTCCCCCCCTATTTTGTTGACGTAATTAATGGACAACTCCTTACGAGGTTTCAAAATTAGGTCAAGTTACGGACTACCATTTTGCTTACTTATCAGAGCCGACGACACCTAGGGGGCCTGGGAGCACGTACCACTCCCCCTCCTTCTCTAGTTTTTTTCTAAATGCCTTTTTTTTTTTCTAAAGAAAATTTTAGATATAGAGGACTTTTTTTAAAATTGACGATTGTGCCCCTCCACTTTAAAATCCGTTTTGTCGGTCCTGCTTATATCACATTGTGTAACTGTAAACTTCATGGGTTTCAATATGGGTGAATAAATATGTCGGTAATCATTTTTTTTAAATAATATAAAATTAGTTTTTAAAAATTAAATAATGTTGTAGCGAATATCATGACGTTAGAATATTAAATTATAAAGGAGAATTATAAGATTAAAAATTAAACACCATGGATTTAACTAAAATAACATTTTAATTAAAAATAGAATTGTTACTACAGTAATCTTTCGTGTCAAAAAATGTAGCCTTTTTAAAATTTCATCTATCTTGCGCTCCTCCGAAAATTAAAGTAAAAAACTTTGAAGTACACTCATTTAGCGGGTTTGTTTGAAAAAGTTAAAAGATTTTATCAAAATACAAAATACTGTAAAATGATTAAAATCATTTTATTTTAATAGAATAGTTTTTTAATTTTTCTTTATCACTTTTGAACTTCAAAAACTTAAATACTTTTTAAAAACTTTGAAAAAAGTTATTAGCCTCGTTGGGGGTCTAGTGTAAAAAATTATTAAAACTAAGATTTTTACGATGTTTTCTGATATAAAAAGGCATTGATCATTCAAAGAATCACAAAAAAAAAAAAAAAAAAAAATGATTTTGATGATTTTTTTTTTTTTTAAATTTGATTGACATAAACATGAATGTGTGAGTTTTTAAGACGTTTATTATGACGTTTTGTACTTTTTGAGTTTTGATGCTTCAATTGAAACTTTTTTACGCTAAGTTGTCAATAAAAAATTCAACTATTAATTTGGTGATATAACAAGCCAGGTGAATAAAAATGAGTAATTGCTTCAACTCAGTAATTGGTCAGCTTTACGTGAGTAAAAACTTTAGCAGTTTTTCTCAAATTTTTATTCACGTAAAGTTAAGCAAGTTACTCAGATTTACGTGAATAAAAACTTAAGCAAAATTGTTGAAGTTTTTACTCACGTAAAGCTGACCAATTGCTGAGTATAAGCAATTACTTATTTTTATTCACCCGGCCTAAAGTCTGGATAACATGTTTTTCAAGATTTATGAAATGTTTTTTACCCCCTCATTATAATATAAAACGAAAGTTTTAAATATTTGTTACTCCTCGTCATCATCTTTGAAAATTTTATTATTTGATGCAATAGTAACAATAACAATAAAAAATTGGATGCAATATTACTTTCACAACAAATTAAATATTAAAAAATATTAGGTTTCAGAGGTGTTAATATAAACAAAAATTAAGAAGTAGTAATTGTTTGTTTGCTATGTAGTCCTTTTGAATAAGTAAATTTCGGTTTATTGACAGTTTAAGTTACGCTTGTTTTAAGTGTCAGCTTAAATAATATTTAAATCCAGAATAGCATGTGAATAATAAAAAACATAATTTTTTTATAACGTACCAGCATTTTTCTTTGTATATTCAACGTGACAAATCTTGGTCAATTATTAATTTTTTTTAAAAAATTTGTTTTTGTTATTGATGTTGTTTCACTTGCCTGAAATATTCAGTTTACAATTATTAATACGTCAAAATGTGAATGACTTAAAATAGTTATAAAAACACGAATAAGAATGTCTCTGACGTTGATGTGGCTTCTTGTTGCTGGTTCAATTTTCTTAGCTTTGGATTTTCTTATTTTTGTTGCGTACATAATTTGGAGACAGAAAAAGCAAAAGAATAAAGAAATTAAAACTGAAGATGAATTTGAGAACTTATTAGATATTAACCCAAATGAAATGACAAAGAAAAACATGTGGATAAATATGTCAGATTCTGACGGTTTTCTTATTCCTTGCAAAACGATAGAAATAAAAGGAGACAAAAGAAGGCTTCGGCCCAAGAAAATTCCATTTACAAAAGAAAAGGAAGATGGTTATCTTGATGCAACCCAATATGATTTTAGGACAAGAAAACGTCAGAGTGGATTACCAATGGTTTCGTTTGAACTTTTTTACCGAATTGGTGAACTAAAAGTCATTATAAGAAAAGGAAAACAGCTGATTGGTGATCGATTCTCAATAAGTGTTATGCTATCTAATTCTACTTTGAGTTATAACACAAGCCATGTCAACGGACCTGACCCAGTTTTTAATGAAACTTTCCGTTTTCCATTACAAATAGAAGACATCTCAGCAGACCCTCCAGTTCAATTAAAACTAAATATTTGGTCACTTGAAAAATTATCAGAAGAAAAAAAACCTTTTGGTTTAGTTAAAGCCTCTGTTGAAGAAATACTTATTAAATACGGTTTAATGCCCGCTCAAGGTAACGTAGAATTTTAAATAAATGTGTATGCGTGTGTATGTATATATATGTATATATATATATATATACATAAATATATATATATATATATATATATATATATATATATATATATATATATATATATATATATATATATATATATATATATATATATATATATATATATATATATATATATATATATATATATATATATATGTATATATATATTCATATATACATATATATATATATATATATATATATATATATATATATATATATATATATATATATATATATATATATATATATATATATATATATATATATATATATATATATATATATATATATATATATATATATTTGTGATTTTCGTGTATGACCTCTTGTTTTTGCATATTTAATTGTTCTAAGAGGATGGTTCCATTGAACTTTATCCATGTTTTTACTTATTCTATAATATTAAATCATATCACATTTTGCTCTTCTTGTTTTTAAAATAGTCAAGATAAATCTTTTCAGTCTATCTTGATAGCAAGCACTCTTTAAACTTGTATTGCATTGTATTTTTTCAAGTTTATCAATGTTCTTTTGGTAATAAAGGTTCCATATAGGTGCCGCAAGCTCTAAGTGTAGAAGAATCAACGACTTGTACAATAATTTGATTGAAACTATTGAATACATCATTCGGTATCATAACACCAAAATCTCTCTCTAACATTATCTGAATTTAAAAAGACTTAATTTAAAAAAACAATTTTTAAATTAATTTTTTTAATTGTCTTAATAAAAAAAATTTATTAAAAAAAACTAACCTTAATTTAAAAAAACAATTTTCAAATTAGCATTTAGCTCCTGAGATATTGAACGTTTCGTTTAACTGGGTAAACTTAAATATTATAGCAACGGTTTTTTTTTATAAAAATTGCAGGTATTTTAATAGTTTTAATATCCAATACACATTTAAAACAATAGGTAAATCATGCGAAGTAAAACAAAAATAGATTTGAAAAGTCCGAAATTCAAAACCAGTTCGTTAATTGACGTAACTCAGTTTCTCTTGTTAATTTTTTTAAAAATTATCCTATTTTATATAGGATATTATTAAATCAATTTATATTTGGGGTCGTTCATAAACTATGTCACGCAATTTTTGACCGTTTTTGACCCCCTCCCTTCCGTTACAAAATCGTAACAATTAAGGTACTTTTCTAAGATCTTAGAATTTGTAATTAAGGTGTTCTTAAGAACACCTTAATTACAAATATAGTTAACATAAATTGCAAATATAGGTTGAATGAAGAAAAAATAAAATAATTTTTTTTTATTTCAATCCTAATAAAAAGTTGGTTTTGGTCCCAAAAAGGGGCTGAACCGTTTACACTATTGTTTACCATAGGATGTCTGTTAAACTTTGAAATTTGTAATATTGTTTATAACAATGTAAACTACAATCTGTGCCACTTTCACGTTCTTACAACTTCACAACTTGCAAATATATAGTCATTTTCATCAGAATTGGTGATTTTCACAGTTTTACTCCCCTATTTAAAATTTCATAAGTACAAATCTGAACAAGCGAGACTCTTTAATGAGGGTCATTTTGTAGCTATATTAGTAACAAACATTTGTGGAAAATTTCAAGAAGTTTTATAAAATAATATTAAAGATATTATGTAAACGGTATATCCAAAACAACAATAAACACATTCTGTGAAAAAACAGTTTTAAAAATCAGATATTATTTTTTAACATAAAGCAAACAGAACTAACTCAAGGGATCCAGGACTATAAGGATCGCATTCTTTAATGTTTTTTTTAAACTTTTTTCTTAGACTTCTTTACTTTTCCCTGTGTTTTTAAAATAAGAGATGACTATTTACAATGAAATAAAGCTTCAAAATGGCAACTTTTTAATGCATTTCTTTCAAAAAACTTTCACGTGGAATACTAAAACAATAAAAACATTTCCAATACAATTAATACCATCATTGAAACTTACGATAGCAGAACACCAATTGTAAGTACTTTTCAGCTACAATAAGTAGATTTGGGATAACGTGTCCAAACAATTTCAATTAAACACTCATTCACATTTTGCATTTGGTAATGTAGCCGTTACTCTAACGAAAGTCTTGAATTAATTCCTGACAAAAAAATTTTTTTTTCAATTATGCCAAGTGCATAAAAAATACTTGAAAACAAATTGAGATGGAATTACACAAGAACTTAAAAAAAAGTGCATTTAACTCTGGTTAAATGCACTTCCACGGTGCTCTGTGACAAGACCGTTGATCTTCTTGGGGTACCTAAATAACAAAAAATATATATATATTTTAATATAAATTTAACTATAATTTTTTTCATTTTAATTCATGTCTATTTCATATAATTCATTTCGTATAATTCATTTTAATTCATTTCAGTTTAATTCATGTCTAGATGATTGTTGATATTAAGTATGATATTATAAATAATAATATTATAAATTAGTTAATAATTCTAATGACATTATATTCAGGGCCATTCCAAGGGGTTGGTGGTGTTAACCCCTCTACGAATTTTTTTAGTCGGCAAATTGGAAACTACAGTCGGCAAAATTGGCTTTATAGTTGGCAGTCGGCAAATGTCGGAAAACTTTAGTTAGCAAAAAAAAATTTTTGGCCAGTCGGCCAAAAACAGACACGACACCCCCCCCCCCCCTCCTTTTAAATCTCTTCGGGACGGCCCTGATTAGATTTCAAGTTTTATTTATATATAAACTTTTTAAATTTATATATAATGATTTTATTTATATATAAACCAAACTAACTTAAATGGTTATTAAATGGTTAACTGATTATTTAAATAACAAACAACAATGTGTTATAATAGACGGTATCACTAATACAAAGTTATTAAAAATAAAATGTGGTGTCCCCCAGAGATCTATTCTTGCACCTTTATTATTTATTATCTACATTAACAATCTCCCTAAAGTCTCTACAAATCTCGATTGTATAATGTTTGCCGATGATAATAATCCTTTTTACTCATCTACCTCTATTAATGACCTTTTTGATAAAATCAATATTGAGCTTCAAAAACTTAAAACATGGTTCAGTGCTAACATTTTATCATTAAACGCCCAAAAAACTAAATATATTTTATTTCACTCAAAGAAACAGAAAAAGAAAACTACCATCAGTTCTACCCTCACTAAGTATCGAACACAAAAAAATTGAAAGAACTCAAACAATTAAATTTCTTGGTGTGATTATTGGCGAAAATGTTTCATGGACAGCCCATATAAATGTCATCAACACTAAAATATCTAAAAGTATTGGTATATTTTATAAAGCTAGACCATTTTTATCGCAAAAAAACCTAAAACTTCTTTATTTTTCCTTTATACATAGTTATCTCACATATGCCAACATTGTTTGGGGAAGCAGACACAATACAAAGTTAATGTCCCTTTATCGACGACAAAAACATGCCTCTAGAATAATACATCATAAAAACAAACTGACCCACGCTAAACCCCTATTAAATGAAATGAAAGCGCTAAACATTTACCAAATTAATATCTATGCTAATATATTGTTCATGCTAAAATACTAATTAGGATTAGTTCCAAACTGATTCACAGAAAATTTCTTTCAATCTAATGTCAACAAATTTAACACAAGATCAACTGGTAACTTTATTGTACCCCGGAAAAGACAAAAAAATTCTCAATTCTCTATTTCTTACCGCGGGCCTTATTTATATAACAAATTAATTCCGAATTATACCTCAATTTCTCTTGCTGACAATATAACCTCTTTAAAGTCAAAACTAAAAAATCATGTTCTCAATACAGATAATTACTTAGAAATGTTTTAGTTCCAATGATAAATCAATATTTACGCTCACATTCAAATAATCAGCAATCAATAAAAAATGAAAATGAATTTTTTTTTTTAATTAAAAAATAAAGATAATATTATTATTATAAACCACAACACTAACACCATACATAGTATAATAAAAAGAAAAAAAAGGTCTACTTCAATAACATTTAAAATATTTGTTTTATGAGAATCATAATGTTTATATGTGTACTTTACGCAACACCCCAATGTTCTCGATGATAAGACTAAACTCAGTCTTCTACGAGTTCCCTACAACAGTCAATATCCATATCAAGTCATAGCATATTTAATTATTGCTTCCTATGTTTATGTTAACGGTATTTTGTAAAATATTAATTTTTTTGTATTGGAAGTTTATTTTGTTTATGTTATCGCAGTGTAAAAAATTTTTGTAATTAATATGTAGTTGTAAAAATTTAAATTTAAACAAAAAAAAAAATTTAAATATTATAAGTCTTTATATTAAGCAAAAAAAAATTCTATAATTTTTACTTAAAATCTTTTTTTTGCGTTACGTAAAGGGGTTGTCCATAAATTACGTCACGCAGTTTTGACAAATTTTGACCCCCTTCCGCGTAACGCATCCTCACACATAATTGAACTCCCCCCCCCCCCAATTTAACGCATCAATTTTGTTGCGTAATATTGGGGAGGGGAATTTTTTCTAGCGAAGCAGGGGGAGTACAAAATTTTACAAATTACGAAACGACTTTAAATATAATAATGTCTATTATTTTCTGAGCTTCTATAAGTTAATTAGTTAGTACTTTTCAGGTCTGTTTAATGTTTTTTTTTTCACCCCGACGGTTCCGTGTAAAATTGTATAAATTAACATCGCTATCCTAAACGTGATACCATTTTTAAAAAGCTATTTTTCCGATATATAATGCATGCAAAATATTATCTATCTATATATATATATATATATATATATATATATATATATATATATATATATATATATATATATATATATATATATATATATATATATATATATATATATATATATATATATATATATATATATATATATTATATATATATATATATATATATAATACATATTAATACATGTTAATACATTATACACGCAAAAATATTATTTTGAAATCATAATTTTCTTTTGACTTTTTCTGCACATTTTTGTACACCAATTAAATAAAGTTCTGCACTTGGACCATATAAAATCAAAGCGCAGAAAGTGCACTGAACATAGGCTGTAACAGCCGTAACATACCGTTAACAGGCTGTAACTACTCCGTTAACGGAGTGTACACATCGACTAAGTAACATTTAGGCGTAGTTGATTTTACAATCAACATGGAGATACATGAACTGAGGGTTTTGGTTTGGTCAGGTACTCTTTTAATTAAAAAGAAAGTCTTCTCTAGATTTAAAACTAAAAAAAAAAAATGTTGCATCACAAAACCAAGACCCCCTCCCCCTCGAAACAAATCGTCACAAAATCACCTACCCCTCTCCCCCCCCCCCCTTGAAAGCGTTACGTAATTTGTGGACGATCCCAAAGACTTATATAAATGATTATGATATATACTTTCTTAAAACTTTTTAATGTGACATTTATTCCCGTGGGGTCTTCAGGCGGTAATACTGGTTTTTGACAGTTAAAAAAAGTTTTAATCGCTATTAGTTAATAATAAATACAATTTCTTTTTAAAAAAATTTGAACTGTTTATATGCCCATATATGGGCATAATTGTTTACAGGTAAAGGAATAGTATGGGAAAATGTTGAACGATGTACCACACTTACTGAGAATCAGCAAGGTAATTTATCGACTGAAGTATTTATTCATTTGGGTTATTTGTCAGCAGCGCGACGTATAGTTGTTTTGTTAAGTGAAGTAAAGAATCTAATTTTAAAACCAAACGATAAATTAATAGTTGGCGTTATCTCTTTAATTTATCGAGACAGCGAAAAAAAAACTTTTACAAGTACTGGTATAAAAGCTGAAAGTAATATAAAATTTAGAGAAGAATTTGTTTTTCATCTATCTGAGTTTCCTAACCTTGGAATCGATGGATTGGCAATTTGTATTGAGCTTCAAGCAGTTCAAAATAAACTTTTATCAAAACCACGCAACCTTGGCAGCGTGACTGTTGGAAATTCGGAAAAAGCAGAAAGGACTGGAAGAGAACATTGGGCTAGAATGTTAACATCTGGGTCATCGGTTTCGAAATGGCATACAATTCAAGAGCCTTATGTATTAGTAAATAATTAATGTAAAAAAATTAAAAAATATTTATTATTCGAAAGATAATTTTAAAATTTCTTTTTTTTTATATAATTTATAAGAATTTAAAAAATATTTTAAATCAGGTGAATATGTATTATATAATATATAACAATAAAAAGCGCGATTTTTTTTTTTTTAATTCTTTGAATTTTTTTTTACTTTTAAAAAAAATCAATTTTAAGTGTTAGTTTGAATATATTGATGAGAATGATTGAACTGTAAAAAATGCGATTTTATAACGAGAGCTTTTAATAATCAATCAATACCATATATATGGATTTGAAATTTGAAACCGCCGTTCTTACATTTTTTTCTTTATTATTATGCTTTGTGCATTTCTTTTATGTTTTATTTGGTTATTTATTATTGGAGTATTTAGAATTAAATTAGCGAAATTCTTAATCTATTTTTAGTTTTTTCAAAATGTTTTTTTATACTCCTAAAAGCGAATTATTTGAATAAGTGTTAAGCTTATTTTGGATAGGTTAGTTTGCCAACAATATGCGCGAAATTTTTTTTTTCTATCTAAGTGGTGAAATAAATTGCTCCTTAGGGATCGTCCATAAATTGCGTAACGCACAACTTATTATAAAAATATAAGTAGGAGATCATTTTGCTCTTTTGCGCGGCGGTTTTGCTAGACTTTAAAGCTTGTTTATATACTTGGTTTAATTAATGACTCTGCGAGGGAAAACCTTTAATGTTTTGTCTTTTGTCTATAAGTTTAATTTCGCGTTACGTAATTTATGGACGGTCCCTTATATGACTTTCCGAATTAACTAAACAGTTTGAAACATCTCCTTTGTTTTTTTAACAATATTAAAACTAATGTCACCTTTTATTATCTTCAAACCATTTTGACAATAAAATCAGACGATTTACTTTTCCAATTCCAGGCTGAAAAATTGTGCGTTAGAAAGCAAAAATAGGATTTTATTTACATTATTGAGAGTTTTACTTACATTATTAAGAGGTTTTACATTATTGAGAGTTTTACTTACATTATTAAGAGATTTTACATTATTGAGAGTTTTACTTACATTATTAATAGGTTTTACATTATTGAGACAATATTAAGAGGTTTTACATTATTGAGAGTTTTACTTACATTATTAAGAGGTTTTACATTAAGAGGTTACATTAGACTTACATTATTAAGATTATTGAAAAACTTTTCCAATTTAAATCTTGAAAATATTTTTTTTTACGGATATATTTTTTAATAAAAAAATTTGTAATTCAAATATATTATTTTTTATTTGTCTTCGTAAGAGGGGGGTTTTCAGGATTAAAAAAGTCTAGTTTTTTTTTGTGTGATTATTATGGTCCTCCATGGAGATGTGGTTATTGAGGTCCTCCATGGAGATGTGGTTATTAAGGTCCTCCATGGAGGTGTGGTTATTTAGGTGCTCAAAAGTCCTTAAGGTTTTACCTCAGAGTACCGTGGAAGAGCATTTAATTTCGAAGTTCACGCCTCCTTCTTTACCAATGTCGTTTATCTCGGATTCCTTGCTTCTGCACCAGACCTCTAACGACTGCGCCAGGTTTCGCTAAGTTTTTAAATTGCATTTAATAATAGTTAAAACTTTCGCATTAATTTTATATGTTATAAGATACAATCATGACCAGTTAGATAAAAACTAAGCAACAAACGAATCACCTCTGCATCATTACTTTTTGGTGTTCGTAAAGATTTAATGCAGAATATTACCTCAGAGGTCGCCAGTTTTTTTAGTTGTTACAAAATCCCATTTTATAAAGAAACAGAACTCTTTTCCTCTATAAAATGTCAACTTGTAGCAGAAAGACTTGCAAGTTTTCTCACGAGACAAAAGTTGTCTTGTGAAAAAAGCTACGAGACTTTTTTTCTCGAGAGTTTATTTACTGAAAGTAGCTTTTTCAATACCACCAATAAACCAAAAAGTTAAAACTGAAAAACTAGAAATGAGTGTACTGTTCCTTTATAAAATGTCAATTTGTAGCAGAAAATTTGTAACAACTAAAAAACTAACAACCTCTGAGGCAATATGCTCCATTCAATTTGTATAATATACTTATTGGTGCAGTAAAATTATTGCCGCCATATTTTTATTGTCCATCGTTTCAAAGAGCGCAAATACGGAAAAACCGATGTATATTTTGTGATTATTAAGAAGACCTAACATTCTTATCATAGGACATCGCGCAAGAGCATTTTGCTGTATAACTTAAGCCACCTTCCTTAAAGATGTCGCATGTACAGCCAGAGCAGAGATGAAAGTGTGAATTTTTAAATTCTGAAACAAGCATTTAAATCACTGCACTAGGATTTCTCAAATTTAACAAATAGCTGGTGCAAAAAGTTACACTGACGAACAAACCTTGCATGAAACAAGAAACTTTTAAGTAGGGAGTTTTGTCACGTGACATTTTATCGCGGAAAAAAATCGTTAGTATATTTTTGAAAAACTTCGTCCAAAAAAATGCCAGAAATGATTTTATGTAGGTTTTGAAGAATAAAAACCCACCCATGAAAATAAATATTATATACGTACATGTAGATGTTATTTTTTTTAGAAAAGGTTGTACTACAATAATTTGTTTGGGAACGACGTTTTGGTTTAGAATTGATAAAGTTATTTAGTTTTAAATCTTTCAGTTTTGTTAAAATGCAAGTAAATTAAAATAAATCTTTCGTCCCCACGTAAAAATAAGTTCTGCAACTATTTATTTATTAAGTGAACAAGTTTTTTTTTTTTTTTTTTTTTTTGTAGTCTAATAGGGTGGGTTTTTTGTTTTCTGAGTAAAGATTATTATAATTTCCCCCGTCTTTAGATATTTTTGGTAAATTTGCCGTTTCTCTTTAACTTGAGAAAAGATTTTTGCACACGTTGAATTCTATATTTTATACGCCGTGGATAGAGTACCGAAAGTCGGTACTATAAGAAAATTTTCTTATAGTACCGGAAGCGCGTTTATTGGTTGCAAAAGTCACGTGTAAAAACAAATCCGATATAAGTTTATAACTATTTGTAACTTGAATGCAAGATCTTTATTCAGAAATATAAATTATTCATTGATTGAAATAGAACAAACAGTTATAACAGTTACTGTCTGAGAATAATAATACAATCTTATAAAAAAGTAAAATAAAGTACTAACGAAGTTTGAAGTTTTCCAAAACCTTTATATTTAAATTTTTGTCCACCATGAATGCAGCAGTACTTTATAAAAGAGTATTTAATTTGTGGAGCCATAATACTAGCTCTCTTTGGAATTCTTTTTCTAGCAGCATTAATTGTCTTGGCGTCTTTCATCCATAATTGGACAAAATTAGTATTTTCATATTTTTTAATATTTGCTTTCAGATCTTCAAATGACAAGAAAACATCATTGCAAGTAAAACCAGTTGACATTTTCCAATATAAAATTATATTTTCCAATTCAAATCATTGAAAATCGGATTTGTTTTTACACGTGACTTTTGCAACCAATAAACGCGCTTCCGGTACTATAAGAAAATTTTCTTATAGTACCGACTTTCGGTACTCTATCCACGGCGTATTTTATATAGCTGAGATTTTATTGTAAATTTTAACTTAAGGTATTCTAAAGTGAGTTTGTTTTGTGTTGTTAATGTGGTTGTTGCTAACCAATTAGTAATTGAATCTCAGCAGTTTATCAGTAAGTCTAATTTGTAACTTAGCAATTTTCTTTTTATACAATTTACTTAATTTTTAAGTTTATATATATATATATATATATATATATATATATATATATATATATATATATATATATATATATATATATATATATATATATATATATATATATATATATATACATACATACATACATACATACATACATATATATATATATATATATATATATATATATATATATATATATATATATATATATATATATATATATATATACATATAATATATATATATATATATATATAATATATATATATATATATATATATATAATATATATATATATATATAATATATATATATATATATAAAAATATATAATATATATATATATATATATATATATATATATATATATATATAATAAGTAAAAGACTTTGAAATAATATATTTATATGTTTATATATTTGTTCGAATTGATGACTGGAAAATCTTTATTTATTTAGATAAAATGATAAATGAAAGTATTTATGATTGGTATTTGGCTTTAAAAGATACATCTTATGATGCAATATATTGTAGATATTGTTTGGATTTTAAAGTTGAACTGTTCTGCTGCAAGAAAGCTTTAGCCAAAAAGATAAATAGATTAGTTGACACCATCAGAAAATTAAAGAAACAACGAAAAAACAAAAAAATAGCATTGTTATTAGGTGAAGCCTTTTTTCCACCTGTGGTAAATTTTTCTGATAATACAGTGAGTGTATCAGAAATTCCTAAAGAAACAATACTGATAAGCGAAAACAAAATGCTTAAAAAAGAAAATAAAATTTTAAAAAGGAAAATGGAATCTATGATGGATTTACAAATGGATTATTTTACACATCTAAAAGATTTTAAAGATATGTCAAACAATCTAAAAATACTTTTTTCGAAAAACTCTCTAATAGAAGAATTAAACTTTATTAAAAAGTGTTATTGTGAAAAAGAAGAAAAGCTTAATAATATTGAAAACAAATTAGAGCTATTAAAGTCAACAAAAGAATCATTTAATGTTAGAAATTTGAATAAAAAAATAAAATATCGTGATACTCAGCTGGAAATAAAAAAGAATAAAATAAATTCGTTAAAAAATGAAGAAAAAAAAATAAGATTGCAATTAAAAAATAAAATAACAGATATTAATTCAATTCTTGAAAACTTAGATATAAACATTTCTGAATTAAAAAAAGAAAAAATAAAGCTGCAAAAAAAAGTGAGTAATTAAAAATTATTTTGCAAAATAAAACCAACTATATTAATGACAACAATATGAAAGATGTTATAAGTTTAGAGAAGGAAGTTGTTTCGTTATATAGTAAGACAAACATTTTAAAAGAGGAGAATCTAGAACTTCAAAAATTGGTTTCTTTGCTGGATGATGACGAAGTAATAATATTTGAAGATGGCAGATGCAGTGATGACATTCGAGAAACAATAATGAAACTTCTTTCAATGAACGTGAGTATGAATAGTGTCAATGAAGTCATAAAAGTAGTTTTATACAAACTAGCCAAAAAGAACATATCTAGACTGCCATCAGCCGCTGTAAAATGTAGGTTAATGCAGGAAGCTTCAATTTTAGGTCAATTTCAAGTTGCAGAAGCAATGCTTGAAAATAATTTGATAAATAAAAACTCTAAAATAGGCAATTGTTTGCATGGTGATGGTACTCAGAAATACCATAAGCATTATCAAAACTTTCAAATTACTACAACTAGTGGGAAAACTTTATCTTTTGGTCTGTCAGAAGTGGTTGGCAAAGATGCAGCAACTGTTTTGCAAAACTTTACTAATATAGTAGATGACATTTGTGACGTTGTTAGCAACTCAGCCACTGAAAAAGAAATAAATTTTGCTAAACTAATAACATCAATAAAATCAACAATGTCTGATCTTTCTTCGGTTAATACTCTTTTTAAAACCAAACATTAGAATGGCTTAATGGTAAATCAGATGAAGAAAGAAAACAATTGCTTGAATATTCAAGAACTAAAGTAACATTAATGAAAAGCAAATATGATGAAAGAAAAGAAGCTCTTAAAAAAGATAAAGCTATGCACCTTCAAGCCATGCAAGAAGAAAAAAATTGAGAAGAAATTAAACTACAACATAAAAAAGGTTGCAGCTTGTAATGATTTGATAAATTTAAATGTAAGGGCTTGGATATCATTAGAGGAAACAGAGAAAACAGTTTTTAATATAGAAGAGCCATTGAAATCAAAAGTACTCCTAGCTCAACTTAATTTTTATCGCATAATCTTAGGTGTCGAATGTGACAAAAAATTTTTTTGTAAAACAAAGGTAGAAGGAAGCAAAAGAATAAACTTGCCTTCAGAGGAATTATATCAAAATCTTCTTATTGTTATTCAAACAAATTTAACACCAAACAAACAATCTTTAAGTAATAATATAAGTAATAATTTAAAGCCTCGTACAATGCGTGATGCAGCTGTTGAAAACAAAAAAAAAGAATTAATGGAAAAAGTTCAGGATGCAAGACTAAACAAATTAATAGAGCAACAAAAAAAGCACTCTTTATCAAAATTTTTTAACAATCCATCTGATTTTGTAGGTTTTTCTATACAACATCGTCTTAGAGAAGAAGATGCTCATGAAGTATCTTGGGAACGTGCGCAAGAGGTTCAAATTGATCAATTAAATGGTAGAAGAACTACATACCTTGTTAAGTATGATAATGAACCTGATGAATTATGGTCATTTCCTTTATTAATAGATTTTGAAAAAGGTGATCTTATTCTTTGTAGCTAGGATTGCGAGGTTTTATTTAATGTAAATTTAGAATTATGTTACAGTATATATTAATCTTATTTCTTTTATTGTTATGTTCCAATAGTTTTTTTTACTACATTTGAGTTCAGTGGTTTTTATTTTTGTAAATAGTATGAATCATATCTGATATGTTTATCTGCACCAATTTTGTTTATTTGTTGTTGTTTATTTGCAGCTTAACTGCACATTATTATTATTATTATTAAAAAAAAAAAAAAAAAAGCTTATGCAAAAATACTATTACTTTTACATGAACTGCCTATCAAGTAAAGGAAAGTATCCAGAAATGGAGGGCTAACCTTAGGCTAATTTACTATTACTTTTACATGAACTGCCTTTCAAGTAAAGGAAAGAATCCAGAAATGAAGGGCTAACCTTAGGCAACATGACAGCTCACGGATGGAGTGCAAAGTCCTATGGCATACCTTCTCGTTGGTGCACTTCGTTAAGTAAGTTAGACAATTTTGTCTAATTTATGAACGAAATAGCCAAGGCAAATTATGTATAAAATTGTTTGTTAACAATACACACACAACTTACTCTGAAGTTTGAATTGAAATTCGATAATTAAAATATTTTTTCAGTGATTTACCGATATGAAGTATGCTAAGTTTTAAATGAATTTTGAAAAGTGAAATTTCTGAGTTTGCAACATATAGTCAAATTTGGGTACATTAATAGTGCGATAATTTATTTCAAAGACAAAACGATTTAAGACATCTATTAAAAAGTTTAAGACAAATAGATAGATAAGATAATCCGTATAAGAATTTCCATGACTGTTAATTTCCATGACTGTTAATCTATGCTAATTCCGTATCTGTTAATCTATGTAATCTCAATTTCTTAATGCAAGAGGGATGGGGTTAATAAAAGTGGATGGAGGAGTTTAGTCAAGATTTAATGAACCGGGGGAGGGGAGGGTCAGAATTTACACTGAAAGTTTTATTACTTATCAGTAACTAGTATGTATTTTTTGATTTTTAAAGCTGATTTTCACTAATTTTTTTTTAGTTTTTAGATATAATTTTTTTGTTAAAACAAGTAAAAATTAATAAACGGGAGGGGGGTCTTAATAAGCTTAGTGTGGGCGGCAAAGTTTCCCCAAAATTAATAAACGCTCCCCCCCCCCCCCATCCATAGAATTAAGGACTCGAGAGTACACAATCAAATAAAGCCAAACACAATGAAATAGAACAATTCAACGAGTTTTTCATTCACTGTTTTCAAAATTTTAAAAAAAGTTAAAAACCTTAACCCCATTAAAAAATAGAACATTTTTTATATTATGATAGGTGCTGAAAACAATAAATTAGTCGAATCAGTAGACTATAAGTGGTTAAATCTTTTTTTAAATCTATAACAATACTGAAATTATTAACAAGTCTTTGACTAATTTCTTTATTTGTTTGTGTAAAAATAAATTTTAGATTTATGTTTATTTTGTACATATTTTGACGTTTTCGGCGTGTTTTATTTGGGTCCACGTTGTTCAATTGATAATTTATTAAAGAAAAATAAAATTAATTTAAGTTAATATTTATCATCAAAGTTTTGTTACGCTCAACGTATTATAAATTAAAACATTTGAAAATTTATTTTGTGTCAAAAAAGTTTAAAACATATTTAAACATATTATACAGTTATTTGACTATTTCATGGTACGTCTGCATTAACCCCCCAAAAAATTCTACTTATGAATTGTTCAAATAATTTAGATTTACAATTTATTTTCTAATAAAATTTTATTATAAGTTAGTTTACGCAACTTTTTACGCAAAAAAAAAAAAAAAAAAAAAAAAAAAAAAAAGTTTATTTTTTCGGTGCCAAAAATTGAACGAGATACCTTAAGAAAATATTTTATAAAAAGTCTATGAATTGAAAATATTAAAACATGTATATCTTTGGAACTAAATAAGCTACAGAGGTGGTTGAAAACATTTTGAAAATGAAATATATTAAGTAATATAATGCATTTAATATAAAAAATATTTACATTTGCTATAAATATTGCCTAAACTGCCTATTTTAAGGCATTTTTTGGCTCTTGAGCTTATTTACTCAAAACTTGAAAATAAACTACTGTACAATCTTGAATTGACTTGAGAAAAAATAATTGTTATATAATTATGCATTGTACCAAACCTTTAAATTTAAGGGTTTGACACTAGTTAGTTTAATAAAACCTCTTTGGTGTATATACTAATCATCAACCCCCCACCTATCGGTGACACTGTCTGTGGTGTATACACTAATCATTGACCCCCTTTCCCTCCTCTCAGTGGCACTGCCTGTGGTGTATACACTTAACTTTATTTTTTTTTCCTATTCAACATACTAAAAAACATCCAGAGCCAAAATCAGCGATCGATTGAGAGAAAAGAACAAAAAAATGCGGAATCTCATGCTTGAGTTTGCATATTTTTTATGTTTACATTTTTACATGTTTTTATGTTTACATTTTTTGAGTTTACATGTTTTTTTGAGTTTACACGAGTATTTACTATTTTGTGGATGGGGCACAATTGTCAATTTCTAAAAGAAAGTCTTCCAGGTTTTATATCTAGGTAAAAAGTCCTATATCTAAAATTTTCTAATAAATAAAAAAAAGGTCCTTAAGAACTCCCGGGTGTCGTTGGACCTGTAAAGTCTATTCTCGGAAGGTAATAAAAATATACTGAAAAAGAGCGTTTACAGAGTAAAAAAGTTTTAGGGGAATCAGCTTTTCATAAATTTTCTTGTTATCCTAGAAAAAACATCTAAACATTTGTTGTTTTTGCAAATGTCTAAATGTGATTTGTTTCTTTAATGACCGGTCTATTAATATTTCTTTATGCTATAATTCTAACACGACTATTTCATCAGGGCTAACGGCACGGGTTTTGAAGTGGGGAGGAGGGGTGCACAATCATCAACTTGTGAAAAAAGTCCTCTATTTCAAGATTTTTCTTTAAAAGTTTCTTTCCAAAAAAGTGTGTGAGGGGGGAGAGGGGGGGGAGAGCACGTTCCTCCCCCCCCCTACTCTCCGATGTCGTCGATTGTCGTGTATGTGGGCAAGTTGGAAAAGGGTAAACCACTACCAAGTATGCATGCTTGGAAATGGAGGCTAACAATCCCTGATTTCTATTATTTTCCACTTAGGCTTTTGTCTTTAAGGAATTTTGTTATAAGCGATTATTTAAATGAATTTTCCAGGGTGTGTTTAAAAAGTAATTGTACTTTTTAAATTAGATTAAAATTTAAAAGTTTGGTTTGAAAAAAAACCGAACACAAATCAATTACGACTCAATCATGATTTACAATAAAAAAATTACATAAGAAAAAGTATTAATGATTTTAACTTAAAATATTTACTCATTCGGAAAATAAATGTATAGTTCTTGTTAGAGTACTTCTTAAAAAATAAAATATTAAAAGTAGCTTTTTTTATTGCTTGTTTTAGTTAATAGAAAAAAATAAAATAAGAAAATGCGATTTCGCTTTTGTGGGGATTTGGATTGTCCTGATTGGGTTTTAGCAGAAATAAGTATACTTTCACGAATTAGTTCAGTAAAATTAAAGTTATTTTGCCAGCAAGTAATGCTCCACCTGTTAGGAGGGTCTATTGACTATAATAAAGTAAACAAGTTTACTGCTGATGCAAAGTTGGAAATTAATGATATTAAAGCAGCTATTGCAGCTGTTGATTTTATATTTACTAATTCAGCAAAGTACCAAGTTAACAGTGAAATTCTTTCAAACGAATTACAACAGTTGGGCTTACCAAAAGAACTGGCTATTTCAATGTGTAAAGTTTTAGATGAAAATGGAGAGAAACTGTACAGTAATTTAAAGCAGAATAGTTTGCGTTTGTCAAGAATGGAAAGATTTGACTGGCGTGTCGATTATGTTTTAAGTTCAAGTCACCAGGATGAAATAAATGAAGCTGAAATCCAAATTTTAATAAAAAAACAATCTACTGAGTCTCTTTCAGAAACTGTTACATTCTCTTGCACTAATGAAAAACTGCGATGTTTATTAGCAGATTTAAAATATGCTTACAAGTTGATTGAAGATCTTTCTTTATAAGTAAAATTTATATATTTATGTGCAGTTTGAAATAGTTAAGATTTTTTTAATATAATAATATTTTTTGTATTTTAATGTTAATTTTTTATTTTTTATTCACTAACATATTTGCTGTATACAAATTATTAATAGTAAGCATTAAATTAACTAAATCAGTACGCTGCTAAACTAAGAGAACACAACTAAGAGAACCAAGGGGACTCAGTGGGTAATGTGAGATGCAAAAAAATTTAATTTGATATATGTCAAATCAAATTTTGTATTATCTGTATTTTTATTATAGTATTATAGAATATAACACAGTATAGAATAAAAATTATATATATATATATATATATATATATATATATATATATATATATATATACATATATATATATATATATATATTTATATACATATATATATATATATATATATATATATATATATATATATATATATATATATATATATATATATATATATATATATATATATATATATATATATATATATATATATATATATATGCACATATATATAAAGTTTAAGAATAATAAAAATTATATATATGTATATATATATATATATATATATATATATATATATATATATATATATATATATATATATATATATATATATATATATATATATATATATGTTATGCTATTAGTTAAATTTTTTTAATTTTATTTAATTTCGTAGTTTTTTTTAAAAAGGACAAACTTTACATCAGATATGAAAAAGTAAAAAAAAAAAAATTAAAAGAGACTTTTTTAAGTTAATTCACTGTCTGTCCAAAAGTCTCAGTTGAAAGATGTATATTAACTGTGTCTATCCCCATAAAATAGGTCAATGTATGTATACTCTTTAGCAACCATCCCTAGATAATTAATTTCATTAATAATTATTTAAATGCGTTAAAATAAAACATATTTGAAAGATAACAAAAATGATTGAAATGAAAAAAAGTACAAAAAATAACCATACATTGACTGATGGTTTGTACTTTTTTTTTTGACTAAAAAAGTCTAAACTTATGAGTACAGTACCAACCTAGATTTGCAGGAAAATATAGGTAGTGGCACTCCTTGCATGTTCTCCATAATTAAGTAAGTTGATGTATTGACACACCTTGCATTTTTTCCCTATTTAAATCAATCTATGTATTCAAACTCTGTTATGCTAAACCCTAAATAATCAGCCAATAAAAAAAACAAATAAAATTGAATAATCAATTCAGTTTAGGTTTTCCTTTTTTTAATATGTTAGGTATGTAAAATGTTTTTCTTCAAATAACTTAAATTGATAACTTGCTAGTTTGCTATTATTAATAAATTTTATATTCTATGGAAGATCTTATTAAACCAGTTGTGTAACGCAGTGGTGGTTAAAAACAAATCGCTCTAATAAAATTTAAAAACCTAAAAAAATATTTTCAGAGTTAAGTGAAAAATATACAAATTATTTGGTGAAAACAAAATTTTTTTTATAAAGTTGAGTTACATTTTCCAATCAAAGTTTTATCATCTAACAACTGAAATGCTTCATACACTGAAATGCGTAAACATAAATAAAAAGTTTTATTTTAATTGCAAATTAAAAAAGAGAAAACCGAAATTCATACGTAAATTAAATCATTTAAAATACCCTTGTCAGTGAACACTCCATTAAACAAACTAGTAAATAAACTAGATATTTTTGTTAAAAAAAAAGTTAAGAAGAATCATAAGTTTAATATAAGGCTTAAAAAATTAAGCTTAAATTTTAATAAATTTTAAAAAATTAATTAAAAAATTAGTTTTTAGTTATAAGTAATTAAGTTAAAAATTAGTTATTAGTCTTAGAAAAAAAAAAAATAAGATAGCAAATTTACAAAAAAGCTGAAAAAAGTTTTTTGTTAATATTTCAATAAATAATTTATTTTAGTAAGTTTAAATAACTCTAAACTTATTTTATTTGAGATATAAACACAAATTATCTTGTAACTTGGAATAAGATATAAACACAACTTGTCTTGTTACTTGAGACAAGATATAAACACAACTTGTCTTTGTAGTTGGGGATCCCTTTGAAAAAACAAGTAAAAACATTGTTATCATTAAGTTTGTGTTTGTTTTTTTTAATTTAGTTGAATTTCTCAATTATTTTAATGGTTTTTACATGTTTACTTAATTTTGTAAACTTTATATACAAAGAATCATTTTTTAAATCATAAGTGGCAAGCATTAAACATTTACTATAGGAATATATAATTATATATATGTCTATATATCCAAAAATAAAAGATTAAGGTCAGCATTTTTGAATATTTTTGAGTGTTGATCTTATATTTTCAGGAAAAGTAAAATAATGAACAAAATAATTGTTTATATTGCTATTGTTTTTTTATTTTACTGCCTACCCAAATCCAAAGTTGATGTCCCAAATCCAAAGTTGATTTTGTGTTGAAGATTTATGTTTTTTAATTAAATTTCTATTATTTTGACATTTTAGTTTTAAATTTGTAAGTGAAATGAAAGTAGATAGTAACGAAGATGTTGACAGTAAAAAAGTAGATGTGGCTGTGCGATTCCTCAGTAATCCAAATGTCAAAAGTACAAATAAGGAAAGCAAAGAAGCTTTTTTGAAAAGTAAAGGTTTAAATGATATGGAAATTTTGAATGCTATGCAAAAAGCAAGTTCTGAATGCGAAATTGCAGAATCAAATAAATGGAGCATTTTTACCTATTTTAAAGGTATAGTTATTGGTGCTGGAATTTTATCTGCCGCGAACTATGCATATAAGGCTTATATATTGCCATATGTAGCACATGAAATCAAAGATGACGGAAGAATAGAACGTCTTGGAGAGTCTGTGCAAGCAATGAAGGATGATATTAAACAGCACACTTATGAATTAAGCAGTACACTTAAAGATATTCAAACGGTTCTAGAAAAGCAGCATAAAGTTATTGTTCTTTTGCAGGAATCAATACAAAATTCACCATTCGATCACACTACTCTTGCTGATATAAAAGCAGAACTCTCAAATGTTAAAACAATGATGCTAAGTAGAAAACAATTTCCTAAAGCTCCATTCACCCAACAATCAAATGAAATTCCTGCTTGGCAACGTGTTGATAATAAAAAAGTAACAGATGTGTCAACTGATGACACAAGTTCTTCTGAAACAATTTAGATTAAAAATTTTATTTTTATTTTTTTTACGATATATTATTTCAAAGGAAATATAAAAAAAAAAAGAAGAGTGAAAAGTTTTTTTCAATTTTTAATGTTATTTAAATTTATTTAAGATTTAGTTAATCAATTTTGTGAAATAAATTACTTTAAAATTGCATTTTCTTATTCCAATAATTTAAATATACTTGAAACTTATTTTTTAAATCCATTTTTTTTTTTTTAAATTTAAGATTATTAGTTAACAATGTGCTCTTTAAAAATAAGTTATTTAAAAATAAGTATGCCAGGTTTTAAAAAGTGTTTTTACTTTTATTAAGTTGTTGTTGGATAAAAAATGGTAAGTAGGTAAGTTGTAGTGAATTGTAAGTCGTTGTAAGTTTTTTTATTCTGAGTAGGTTTTTAGCCTGCTATTGTGTGTGGTAAAAATTTTAGTGTATTTTTTGTGTGGTACCAAGTATTAGTTTCATAAGAAATATAAACTGCTTTTTTTTTTGTTCTATAAAAAAAAAATAACTTTAGTTATGGTATAGTAGTTGATATGGTGTAATAAATAGATTTTATTTAAAATAATAATAATAATGACTACAACTCTGTTTACACCTCTGCAGCTTTATTTACACTTAAACAGCTTTGTTTTCGCCTTACTAGCTTTGCTTACACTTCTGCAGCTCTGACTGATTAGGTTAACTATGTTATGCAAATATGTCAGCAGAGATTCATTTAGACCTCATTTAGTTTCCTCCATCTTCTATAGCGTATTTAGATACTTGCTCACTAGTTTTGCTTATCTTTATAGCATACAGCATTTTTAGAAAAATAATAAAAAAAACGAATTATTATGGAAAAAGGAAAAGATTGCTGCCCCATCCCAAACCCTCAGTCGATGTAGCAGTATTTCACTGCATGTCAGGCTATTTGTCAGTCAATGTATGTACTGATGCCCCTGGCAGCAGGCTTTTTCAGTGTGATGTCAGAGTACTCATTAAGTTTTATATATATAATATATATATATATATATATATATATATATACGGTCATTTTTAATTTTTACTATAAAATGTAATATTTATGTTTTGCTTATTTTGAATTAATTTCAGACCTGAAAAAGAATAAAATTTTATAGTCTGTGTAACAGCACTTTTTGCATGTTCTAATTATTTATAAGTCAATATATGTACACAGTAAAAAAAGTAAAAATAAAATAATTCAGTTTTTAAATCGGTACAAATAATTAACTTCACTTATGATGGACTTATATCACAACTGGGACTATTAGATAATAAAATTTAATGAGTTATGTAGATTTTTAACTTAACACAATAGATTAGGTAAATTATTATATGACATAATTAATTTAAGTAGACATTTTAGATTTTAGAAAAAAACTATGCTTAATCTTTTAAGAACAGAGGGGGCATAAAAAGATTTTAAATAAATGATTTTTTTGTTTGCTTTCCTTTAATTGCATTAAACCTTTAAGTACTGTAAGAGTTACACTTATAATTAACTGAAGGCTGCAAGTTGCTTTTTTTAAAGCAACTTGCAACCAAATTTTTTTCAATAAAAAGTGTGAAACATGAAAGCTCAATTTTTTATTTATATGTATTATAGAGCAAATTATTAAATAAATGTGACCATTTTAATTAACAATTAAACATAAAAAACCTATAAATGTTTTGAGATTCATTTATCAGAGTCAACAATACTTACATGTAAATATTTGAATTTTAATAAATGAAAAAAAGCAACAGACTTTATTTATGCATAACTCCATTGAATGTTTACACTTTTTATAGGTCAAATACTATATTTGACCTATAAAATGTGTAAACATTCAATGGAGTTATGCATAAATTCAAGTGATAAAACTATAATATTTTTCAGTAAATTAATATTCTAAATGAATGTAAATGTTTTTATCCAAAGCAAACTTTCTTACTTCAAGCATCTTATTTCGACCAAGTTTGTGTGGCATTAAGGTGCTGATAACAAAAAGTTATTCTAGCAATAAAGGGACAACAAATGTTTTTGATGAAAAAACCAAAGTTCACCAGAAGAGGATTGCTGCAAAATTTCAAGATGAAGATGTTTATGATTATCTTAAAAATGAAGTATGAAGTACTTTTTGAATAATTAAAATCAAAAATATATTTTTAATTATGTTTTTTCTGAAATTTTAATTTGAGGTAGCAGAAAGAGTTGCAGATAGATTAGCTGATATCTTGAAGTAAGCTTTATTTTTTACAATTTAATATTTTTAATGTACTATGATTCCCTGTGAAAGCTTAAGTTTTTTATTTAGGTATTTTCCAAAGGCTTTAGACTTTGGTGCAGGAAAGGGTTATTTAGCAAAGTACCTAAATAAGGTAAAAGATTTTTGTCAGCTTTTACATTTTTCAATAAAATTAGCATGATTCATAAAATTCTTCTGAGACTACAGTAAAGTTTAGCTTCTGAAACTGTAAAAATTTAGTTTGGTATTTTTTTAGTATTTTTTTTACTTATTATTTTTTTGGCTAGTTATTTTTGTGTATAGTCATATGTTTTGAGTAGTTTTTGAAATCCTTATTAACTTTTAAACATTGAATACACAGATTTGTTGAAAAAAAAGTTTATAAAAAGTATTTTATGAATATATCATAAATGCAAGATTGTAAATAATATCACTATTCAGGGTTGGCAAAAACCCGGTTTTTTTTAAAAAAACCCAGCCCAGTGGGTTTTTTTGGGTAATTTTTGGTTTTATTGGGTAAATTTGGGTTTTTTTGGGTTTTATTTTTATTTCGTCTCTAAAAAAATTTTTTGTTTTTTTGTGTAATGATATTGAAAATTAGTTTCATTTTCTACTTTAACTTTATTTAAAATATATTTTATATATTGTTATTTAATAATTTATAACAAGAATTTTTCAAATTATTTTGAAAAAGATTTTTAATTATAAAACTGTAAGAAAAAAAATTTTTCACATTAAATCTATATGTATTGATTTATTTTAAATTTAAAGTATTAATCTATATAATTAAAAATGTCAATGAGAAATGGGAAAAAGAAGGCTAGAGAGTGGGAGGTAGTAACTGAAGTTTCAATTAAACTTTGAACTTGAAATTCAAATGAACAAACTTGTTTCTCCACACAGCGGCCTTGTTTATAAAGATTTGTGTTTAGGAGTTTAGGAGTTGAGAGAGAGAGTTGAAACCACAATAACGTAGCCTCCTCGACTGTAGTGGGCTTCTCTGGCCACTACTACTCATTCACCTTAGGAGGTGAATAACATAAAAGATTAAAAAATCTCAATCGATAAAGATATTTGCATAAAAATTGTAATAATGTATTTCCAAATAATGATTCAAATATTAGTAAACCTGTTCTGATAGCTGTTATTGTTGGTTATAATAGTTAATAATAATTTAGTTAATAATAATAGTTAATAATTATTTTAGTTAATAATATTATAGTTATAATGTTAAAGTTGGTTAAAATAGTTCATAAAGTTATTAAGTATCTTAAAAAAACCCAATAAAACCCAGATTTCCCCGGGTTTTATTGGGTTTTTTTAGGAGGGTTTTATTGGGCGGGTTTTTTAATGCCAACCCTGTCACTATTAAAGCAAATATTTATCAAAAGTTCGTATCTAGTTGTCAAAAATAAAAATTTATGAAAAACATGAGCAATCCAAATTCATATTCTAAAAACTTAGAGAAGCATATGATTTTAATAAAAAATTGACGAAAAATAGTACAAATATGTTATAATAGAAATTTAGTATATGCTATAAATAGAAAGTTAGTACAAATATGTACTATACTAAAAGTATAAATAAAAGGTATTAAATCTATTAATCTTCTGTAATTGGATTAAACTACTTTAAAAAAATCAAATCATTTTATATCCTGTATATAATTAATAGAAAGAAAATCAACTTGAAAGATAAATGAAAATCTCAAATACTCTATGCTATGCAAATAACTATGCAAAAGAAAGTTTCTTTGCAACAATTTTTGACAAAACTTAGAGAAGAAAGTATTTAGAATCTTAAATCAGAATAAAATGCTGCATAGTCAGATTTTATGTTAAAACTAAATCATTTCAGAAAATAAAGAGATAAGTAGTTTTATTTGTAAAAAAATTCAGATTTAATTTTTTTTAGACAATCAAAGAGTGAAGGTTAGAATATTTATTGTACTGTTGTTTGTTTTTGTTAATCTGTAATGAGAAATAATACTTTTTTTAAACAAGAACTTATTTTGGTATGTTTAAGTGTAAAAGTTGTGTGCAAATAAATTTAATAATTTTCATTATGAGGAAAACTCATGTTGTATAATGTTTAACAACTTTTGTATTTTGAATACTTGGGGTATTTAGCTGGGATTAGCAGTAACTGGGTTATATTTACTGAAATGGTAAGCAATATTAAAAGAAAAAAATATATATTAATACTACCTATATTCAATGTATTTTAATTAGCTGATGGCCAGCATCAAAGATGGTGGCTGGCATCAAATATCTAGCCTCTAGCTATATCAAAGTAGTGTGTGACACAAATAAGCTTATGCGTTACTAAAAAAAAGAAATATTCGATTCAAATATTTGTATTTTTTAATACTATTTTTAGTAAGAAGACATGTGTATTAAGGAATACATATGTATTAAGGAACTTATGGTAAGGAATAATGGTATGTAGTAAGGAACTTATGGTAAGGAATAATGTAGGTATTAAGGAACTTACCCAAATATTTGTTAATTTTTCAAAATAAGTTTTGAATAGAATGTGAAATGGCAAGAATTTCTTTATCAAATCTTTTATAAAAATAAATAGACCAAATGTTTGTCTTATATTTTATTTTATAAAAAAGTAAAACTTTTTTATTGTATAAAGATAATGAAATAAAAAGCATAAATTGTGATTTTATTTTGACAATAAGTATCTTTGGGCAACTCATCATAAACAATGTGCATGGGGTTAGAGGTTTCATTTTCTGTTTTTTTACAACTACCACTCAAACAACAGTGAATGTGAGTAGTTTTCCCAATTAAAGAAAATGGTCATAAGATTTATATCTTCGTTTAGATGCTGATGGTATAATTTGATAGTGTCGATGTGAAAATGAAAGTGAAAGTATCTTTCATAAATGTTGTTTTAAAGAAAATGCAACAGTTAATTTAAATTAAAATGTTTTTAAGTTTATTGCAATTTCAATAGGAAGAAATTGGTAAATTGTACCAGCTTGAATCAACTAAAGAGATGTTGGTTAGTATTGTTTATTTTTTAATTTATTTTTTATTGAAAAATCTGTTTAACTATTTAAACTATTATTATTTTAAACATGCAAATTATTGAAAATATTACTTTAGGATTTATGTAAACACACTGATCTTGATGTTGAAAGTATAGTTTATCAAGATGGAAAGTTTCCGTTTGAAGAGAACTCTCTTGATTTGATTCTCAGTAGCTTAAGGTAGATTATTTGATTATTTGATATATATATATATATATATATATATATATATATATATATATATATATATATATATATATATATATATATATATATATATATATATATATATATATATATATATATATATATATAAAAGAATGGAAAATTAAAAAATTAGAAATTTTTTGTTTAAGTTTTTTATGTTTCTTTTTTTTTAATAGAAATATACATTAATTATAAAATATACATAACAAATGCAAATATCTAAAGAAGAAAAATATTTATCACATGCATGCATCTTTAAGATTATTGAATCCTTCTTTTCCAATCGTAGTATAAAAGTTGTCCTTGATGGACAGCACTCTTCTTCTTATTCTGTAACCTCAGGGGTTCCTCAAGGTTCAATCCTTGGCCCTATACTCTTTTTAATTTACATTAACGATCTTCCAGATATTCTCACATCTAAGGTGGCATTGTTCGCCGATGATACTACCATTTATTCTTGTCACGATAAGAAGCCAACTCCCTCTGATTGCTTGCAGGGGGCATTTGAGCTTGAAAAAGATCTCACTTCTGCTACAGCATGGGGCTCACAGTGGCTGGTGAATTTTAACTCAGATAAAACTCAATATAAAAGATAAAAGCAATAATTTAGACCTTCCTATATTTATGAACGGTAATGTACTCGATGAGTCATCTACCCTTCATCTTCTAGGATTAACTCTTACTTCTGATCTTTCTTGGAAAACTTATATCAAATCCGTTGCAAAATTAGCATTTGCTAAAGTTGCATCTCTTTATTGGGCTCAACACTTTCTTATTCTGGATTCTATTCTCTATCTCTATAAATCTCAAATCCGGCCTTGTATGGAATACTGTTGCCATATCTGGGGTGGATTTTCTAATGATGCCCTTTCTCTTTTAGACAAGGTGCAAAAACAGGTTGTAAACATAGTTGGACCTGCTCTTGCAGCCAACCTTCAACCTTTTTCACATTGCCGTAATGTTGCTTCTCTTTCTCTTTTCTACAAATACTATAATGGGCACTGCTCTAGAGAGCTAGCGTCTCTTGTGCCATCTACTAAAATTCATTCTCATGTTACTCGTCATTCAATTAAGTCTCATCCTTTTTCTGTTACTGTTCCTAAGCCCTCCAAAAACTCCTGTTCGTCTTGTTTTTTTCCTCGAACATTAGTTCTTTGGAATTTGCTTTCTTCATCTTGGTTTCCTGATTCATATAATTTGCAATCTTTTAAGTCGTCTGTCAATCGTTATCTTGATCTACAATCTTCATCTTTTCTCTTCCAGTAACTTCCAACACTAATTAGTGATTGCTTGCAGCCTTGTTGGAAGCGAAGATGTTAAAAAAAATATATATATATACTTTAAAATATATATAATAAATGCAAATATCTGAAGAAAATAATATATAATTTTTTTCAATTATATAAAATTTTAAAATTTTTAAAATTACATTTTACAATTACAAGTTCAATTTTTCTTGTCTTTAAATAATATATACTATGCTTTTGAATGGTAACTACCGTAACTATCTTATTAAATTGTAAGTTAAATGTAGGTGAATTCATTAAAATTATGAGTTTAAAATTAGTCAGCATTACGACAACTTATCAAATTGCAAAATAAAATTCCTCCTTCACCTGCCCAAATCTATATTACCTAATTTTAAAACAGTGGAACCAACTATTGCTGTTATATGCAAAAAATCTACCTCGTTCTGAATAGTATAGTATAGTTCTGAATAGACCCAGGCCCCGGCCCTGGCTTAATATAGAGCTTTTATAACCCCAGTCCTAAACAAAGAAAGTTAACAAAAAAATAGCTCGGGTTATAATGTTTATTTTGTTCATGTTATTATCTGAGATTGAGTATTTCATTATAGTTTGAATTAGGTGGTATGAAGTCATTATGAGGGCGTAGCATGGATTTGAACCTTAATTACAGATTTTGATTCAGAATTTTTTTTTTTTTTTTTTTTTATTATACTTCACTTCCTCAAGGTCGAGAAGGCCAGATGAGGAGGCTACTTATTTTGTGGCTATAACCCTCTCTCAACTCTATAACTCCGAAACAGGAATCTTGACATACAAGGCCGCTGCGCAGAGAAACAAGTTGAATGAGCTCTAAAGTTGTATTTTGAAATTAAAAGTGACTTTATATTCTTCATAGTACATCTAATGTTCTCTGTTTGAATTAATTTTGAAACTTTAAAACTTGCTTATTTTTGAGCTTGAGAACAACAATGAGCTTGAGGGTGAACATAAATGTACTTGTGCCAAGTTTGCTAGCATTGATAACTCGTTTTGGTATACATAGATTCTCAATCAATTTTTTTTTGTAGTGCTTGAGATTATATTTTAACTTTACAAATGGCTAACAACTTATCGACTTAATAATATAAGTTATTTTATACTACAACAATTGTTTTGTCGGAATTAGGGTTGGTATTTGGCAATACTGACCTAACTGCCAACCTTAAAGTGTTTGAGGTTGGCAAAAAATTGCCAACCTCGTTTTGATATTTTATGGTAAGTCCTTTGTATTAAATTTTTTTTTGTCGACCTTTAAAAGATTGAGTTCAGCAAATACTTGCTGACCTCATTTTTCCTAATTCCGAGGGTTGTATGTATATATAGAGATATATTGGTTAACTTTATATACACTATAGTAAATACATATATTTACTATATAAATACATATATATTAATGTATACACACTATTGTGAATACATATATACTAATGTATACCCACACACATTTACTATAGCTTACATTGGATTAATGATCTACCAGCTATTTTTTCACAATTATATCACTGTTTAAAAGAAGATGGTGTATTTCTAGCTGCAATGTTTGGAAAGGATACTTTATTTGAGCTTAGGTGTGCTTTACAGCTGGCAGAAATTGAAAGAGAAGGGGTGAGAAATTTTTTTTAAATGCTTTAAAATTTTTGTTCATATTAAACATGGTTTTTAAATGTATAGAGGGGTGTTTTGGGGTGTTCAAGTAAGTTTTGGGGTGTTCAAGTACATTTTTTAACAAAACTTCTTCTAATACCTGATAATAAACAATGAGGTGTTCTATTTCATGATCAACAATGAGATATGCTATTTCACTATCAACAGGTGTTCTATTTGACAACCTTAAAGACTAAAAGTATTTTAAAAAACTATGCAATTTTTTTTTTTTTTTATGAAAAAGCCTTATATTATGGTTTAAGTCTTTATTATGGTTTTACTGTTGTTTTTATTATTTAAATTTTTAATTTTTTTTTATGCGCATTGAAGTATTCATTTAATTAACTGAAGGAATAAGCATTAATTTATTAATTATTTAGAAATAAGCGTATATATAAATGTAACTATACAAGCCTTCCCAGGAAGTGCATGCTATCAACAGGTGTTCTATTTGACAACCTTAAAGACTAAAAGTTAAGTAAAATACGCCTGGATTCTTTACAGTAGCTTTGGCATTAAGTTTTTGACTTTATTACACAATGAAATATAATTTTATGTTAAATTAAAACATGCCACTATTATTACAATTTATTACTTTTGTAAATATTTATTTTATTACATTCAAATTGCAAATGCCATTCAAACCATCACCATTCATCCCCTGTGTTTATATTTAAACTGTATGTTTTTGTTTTAAAGTATTTTTCATTTTATATTTTTATTTTTAACATTTTTTTACTTTAGGAATTAGTTTTATAAATAATTAAGTTTAAAAAAAAATTAGTTTTAATCAAATCAACTAGAAGTCTAGGATTTTCTTGTAAATTTTATTTTTTCAGATTTTCAAATCTCGATATAAAAGTTATTGTATTAGATATTATTGCATTAAAAGTATGTTTTTTTACCATATAAAAAATTATTTTTTTAGTTGTTGTTGAGATGTTTTTATAAAATATAGTTATTATTTTTGTAATTTTTATACAATTTTGCTACTTTTGAGACCCAACATAACAAACTTTTAAAGAACCTCTTTTTTTTAAAAACTTTTTTGGGACTTGTCTGATCCTTTGCTATTAAGGAGCAGAGTTTAAATATTTCATTTTTTTTTGGATTTAATACTTTTGTGTCATACTGCTTCACATGAAATCCCTAAAATTGCAATTTTCAAGAATAAAATTTGTTATGATACTTTAATAACTATGCTCTCACTGAGTTCTCTTCTTTACGTCTTGGATTATCGTTTACAACTGATCTTTTATGGAAACCATATATACAATTGGTTGCTTCTCTTTATTGTGCTCTCCATTTTCTCTCTCCTGATTTTCTCTCCATTCTCTACCTCTACAAATCTCTTATTCGTCCCTGTATGGAATACTGTTGTCATATTTGGGCTGGTTCTTCTAATGATGCTCTTTCTTTTCTAGAGAAGATCCAAAATGGCATTGTAAACGTAGTTGGAGCCACTCTGTCTGCTAAGCTTGAGCCTTTTTCTCATCGTCGTAAAGTTGCATCTCTTTCTCTTTTCTACAAATACTATTATGGTCGCTGCTCAAGAGAGCTATCATTTCTAGTTCCATCAACTAAAACTCATTCTCGCTTTACTCGTTGTTTAAAAACAAGTAAAGTTTCATTATTTTACTGTATCTGTCCCTGCATGCTCTAAAATCTTTTATTCATTTAGTTTTTTTCCCGCACCTAAATTCTTTGGAACTCTCTCCCATCTTTATGTTTTCCTCATACAACCTTTAACTTTTTAAGTCTTCAGTCAACTGTTTACTTGCTCTATAACTTTATTCTTTTTTTCTAGTAACTCCCAACTTAAAATGCTCACTGGAGTAATGTTTAGCCATCTTAATTTTTAGTTAGAGACCAGATTTAACAAGTTTATTACACATTTAATTGTCTTTTCAGGTAATGACTATGTCTAAAAGTGAGGGAATTGACTTGAAAATGACATGAACCCTGCACAAAACACATGAAATAAACAGAACTTTTAGGTTAAAAAAAAATACAAATTATTAATGATGTAGAAAAAGCAGACCTTTTGTTTCATCACAAATAAATCCACACTAGATTTACTTCAAATTCAATTCATTAAAACCAGTACTATAAAAAATGGCTGGTTATAAATGTTTATTATACTATTTGTTATTATATAAAAAATAGTATAATAAACATTTTCTGAAAATTGTGCTTGTCAAGATTTCATCTTTAGAATTTCTGCTTTTCAAGATATCATGTTTACAATCAGACAATGTTTTGCAAAAAATGTTTTTTTTAGTTAGTTAATTTAATGAAAAATTAAAAAATAAGTTGAGAACTAACTTTTTATATTATTAATCTACATTAAAATTTTTACAATTTTAAGATAATAATTGGTAATAATAACCTTAACCTTTTCTCTGATGGAGCTGGCGCAATACATCCAAAACATTATTGTTTTTGTAATATATTGTTAGCAGTAACAGAATCAGAATAAAATTGAGTCTATTTTTTATTTTGTTACAAAAGGTACACCTAATGAATTAGAGCCAATGACACTGGGGGGGGGGGGGGGCACTGAAGGGACAGCCCCCTCTCGGCTTTTTTTCTAAAAGCCATTTTTTTTTACCACACACACACACACACACACACTTTGAAACCTGTGTTGTCAGACCTGTGAATTAAAATAAAAGTTGTAATAATTCAAGAGAAAATTTTGTCATTTTAAAAAAAAACTTATTTTATATATATATATTTTGTGAATGTAATTTTGTTTACTTCATCCGATATATTTTTCTAAAGGACAATAGTTAATCATGTGACTTACGCTTTTATTACCATTAGTTTAGTTATAAATAACTTGGATAACTGTTTTTTACCCGGTAAACATTGGACAACAGTGGTTATTTCAAAGTTGCCCCTTTTTTTTACTGACCATAGAACCTTAAAACATAGTTTTTTTGTTAAAAATTTTTAAATTAAAATATCTTAAATATACTAAAATATCATAAAAATATATAAAAAATTTAAAAAATTTTTGAAAATTGGACATCTGTGGTTTTACCGGTGTGGTCTTATTGGACATCTGTGGTTTTACCGGTGTGGTACACACATACATATACATTAAAGTGAAAATCTTTTTTAGAGTGGAATCTTTTATGGTGCGCAGACACTTGTTTTATATAGAAGATTTTTTTTTTTTAATTTAAAAAAAGTTTAAGGGTGGCACATGGCCCCAAAGTACTTTTTTTAACCCTTTCTTGACATTTTTTGACCCCATGCGTGCCACCCTTAAACATTATTTAATTAAGTTATTTTTTTTATATCTATTCCCAGAATGATTAATATTAAAAAAAATACTAGGTACTCTTACTATACTTTTTTTTTTTCTTAACACTGAAAAAGTTATAGAAAAAGTAATAAAGTATATAAAAAATATATATATATTTTCTACTTCTATGATTTGTTACAAATTTCACTTAAATCAAATTATAAATAAGGTATTAAAATATGCTATATTATTTTAGATATCAAACTTAGTGAAGTATCTAAAGTAAGGTAGATCAGCTCTCCCCTATTAACATACCTTTCTTTCAAGTTGCAGGAGGATGAGTGATAAGAACAAAATTAACACAATATGAGACTTTTATTAAGTTATTAACAAGCTATTGTTTTAAAATACTATTATTTGCATTTGATGTGAAATCTGTTTTCTTTGCTCCTTATTTACCTCTTTTGTAAACACGGTTAAGCAAGAACAAATCCTGTCTTTTCTTCTCTTTGGTTGATTTTCCAATCAGTTCTTTAACTAGTTTAATGGCCCTCTCTGATAAGTCATTGACCATATCAAGGGATTTAATAATTATTTCAAACTCAAGATAAAAATCATTGAATTTCCAGAACTGTGAAGGAACCTTATACCACTGCAACTCACTCTTTCCATGTCTAATCTTATCAAAGAATAGTCAAGATTTCTCAGTTACTAGAGCGCAAAGATATAGAGGCTAATCTTGCACAAAATCTAGAGAGGGAAGAAGCTCTTTATTGACTATAACACATTCAAGTGGACATACGATTGGTTTTACAGGAAGTGTACTATATAACGCTTTGGCAATATCTTCTCTGTTTATACAATTTTCATCTGCTAAAGCCAGCACTGCTAAGGTAGGATTAAGATAACAGCTGTGCCTGTCAAATGATTTTAGTGCTGAAGTAGCTCCATGAAGATTTATATCCATGAACCTCTTCATCTGCCTCAGCATTTTTATGTCTTACACAATATTTTAACAAAATTAGATTAATTCATCAATTAAACAAATTATTAATCATTTTAAATCTGTTTTCATATTTATTATTATTATTTTTAACATGAAACGAAGCAGCAGATGCTGATACTACTCTAAGGAACCACTTATTGTAAAAAATACCAACAAACATAGCCATATCACGAATCTCTTTAACATTTTCTTCTGATAAGTTTGGGATGATTTCTAACAGTAAATACATTTTAAGGTAATACAATGCTTTTGTCATAAATGTTGCATCATGTAACAGATTAGGAATACAAAATTTGAACCTCTTTTTTTTGAGAAACTGCTGTTAATGATAGTTCAGCTAACTCCAGATAATCTTTTCTTGATTTACCACCCTAAAATTAAAAGATTTAGTTTTACATATTTTGATTGTACAAAATTGTTAAAATTAGTTTTATCATTAGTACAAATTATGCAGTTGTTCTTAGCCTTTTTGTAGATCCTATTATCTATTACATCTCTGCAGAACTGTTCAGCCTCAAGATGTTGTTTATTTACTCATGCTCTTGCATGAGTTTGAATCCTTATTAATGGAACTTTGTCTTTTTCAAGATCATTCCAGACTGATGTTAGGTGTTTAAAATTTTGTGGCTGAAACATTATCTGTATACTTTTTAAATAACTTTCCATCAAAATGAACAGAAATCAGCTTACATGTGGAATTTGTCAAGTCTTTAATATACTGTCTAATTTTTTGAGCTTCTGAACTTATCACTTTATCTACAGCTCGAAGAGATGATGATTTAGATATAAAAAATCCATTTATTTCTCCTCCTGAGATAGCTATAACACTGCTTATGCAGTGTGTTGTTTGACAGAAAGCTGTTCTCCAAAAGCAGTTATCGCTGTACGCTTTAGAAAATCTTTAGGCAGTATTATGCTTTGTCCTTCTTCTTAGGTATTATCATTTAACTTACAATTAACATAGTTGTTGCATTCTGAGCTTAAATTGTCAGTGACTACATTTTTTGAGCTATAAGATATATCTTCTTTTTCTGAGGATTTAAATTTTTTTTTTTTTGCAAATTTTTTGTGATCTCTCACCAGCCTTTTTAAAGCTAATATCAGAGCTTCCTAGATAACCTTATCTTTTTTCTTTCTTCATTTTCAAAAAAACGTCCATACATTTATTTTCTTTTGTTCTTTTTCTATTCATTGTTATTTCATCAATTTTTATGTCATGTCCCAACCAAAATACCTTTTTAGATTCTATTAAAAATATCTCTCTATCCTTTATTGCTCCTGGTGTCAATCTGTTATTATAAATTGCAGCTTTTTATATTTCATTATTAGAGCTTTAACTTATTTCCTAAAAACAATATTAGTTAGATAACTATATAACTTATTTTTGAAATTTAAACACATTATATGTTATGAGTTCTGTATCCTCCAAGTTCCCAGGGAGCCTTCAGCTTGGATATAATGCAGTAGTTCTCTTCCACTTCTAAACAACTTGTTGTAAAAGTAGAACCATTGTTTAGACAACAAATTAAGCGGTAAAAACCACATAGTTTGTTGTCCATTGGAAAACATGCTTTAGTGGTGTAGTGGTAGAGCGCTTGCTTCATAAATGAGAGGTTCCGAGTTCGATTCCAACCACATCCCTGGTAGTACAGTGCTCAACTCATTTCTCCGTGCAGTGCCCTTGTTTGTCAAGGTTTTGGAGTAATAGAGTTGAGAGAGGGTTATAACCACAAATAAGTAGCCTCCTTGTCTGTAGTGGCCTTCTCGGCCTTGAGAAGGTGTAACAAAAAAACAAAAAAAAAACCTAAGTTTTTGAGAGAAACGGGTGGTTTGGACTCTTGTAGGTAAAGATAATACTGAATAATTTCTTCAACAGTTGTAAACTGAATAGATAATAGTGTCTTTCTAATTTTTAACTAAGAATTTTTTCTTTGCCTCGATTTCTTGTTTTTCCATGAATCTTTTGCAGAACTTTTTATTTTACTTTTTATTTCATGTAAATGAACTATAATAACATTTAGATATCTTTTTAATTTCTAAAAACATATTTCATTAAATATTATGCAAGAACCAATAATATATTAAACACTGCAAATTTAAAGTTACAAAATCAACATTTTACACAAAGTTAAAAGTCTGTTAAACATTAATATAGAAGATGTTGAAAATTGAGTAAAACTTGTCTTTATTTGTAGTAACATCAATGTTGTCTTTATGAGCTTAACAATTTTTTCAAGCACACAAATATTTGTGAAATCTAAAGAATTGAGGACCTTAATGTTGGCTCTCATTTGGTTTCATGGATATTCTTTCTTCACATTTTTCAACAGCTAGGGCTGATGGAAATTGTGAAGATAAACACAATATTGTGCAATAACACAAAAAGACAAGGGTACAGAAACCATGCGCGAACAGCATAGAATGATTTTGATTTAAAATAAGCATGCAATGATCTTGATGATGAAAATGTAGGGTTTTATATAATTGGTTATCATTTTTGTAAAACACTTTTTTTCTCTAATATATATATATACAATATATATATATATACATATATATATATATACATATATATATATATACATATATATATATATATATACATATATATATATATATACATATATATATATATAC